ACAGGGCCCAAACTAGGAGTATAGAACAGCAGGATGGATGGAAGGGTGAATGAGGCTTAGGGAGTCCTGGCGCGGAGAGCTGCGCTATAGACTTACCCCAAGAGGCCTGAGGATAGTAGTCCATAAAATATTATTTTAAGACAAAAGTCATCCCATGTGTCTTCAACCCTATCCCTTTTAGAAAAATACTGGATCAAACTCCCATTTAACCCAGCACTTAAGCAAAGACACCACAGGCCCTCCAGTTTTTGTTGAAGCTGAGAATGGCAGCCATCTCCTCTTCATTCAACTGAATCAAAGACCTAGAAAGGCAAGAGTTCCAAAAACAATTTTGGCAAGGAAAAGGTTGATGGGATCTGAGGTTCTAGACATTTATCCTGATATATCCACAGAGAGCACATTGTTCTCTAAATTAAGACCAAATAATGTATAGAGTTTAGAGTTCCAAAGGGATTGGAATTGTAGGTGTTCATGATGGCTGTGATTCCTGACAGGCATATCAGAAGGACATATCTTTAAGTCCAAACCATATCTCTTCTCCTGCTAAAAAGTGGGTATGTTGACTAAGAGAGTATGCAGTTGGCCAGGACAATGTGTGGCCCAGGATCTAAGTGCTCAGAGGTAAGCCAGGATCTTCTCAGTAGTATGTAGCACAGCCCTTAGCCCTCAGAGGGCTTCCCTGGTGCCTGCCACTAGCCCACCATTTGTGCACTGGTTATTTTCACAGCTCTGTTGTGGTCCAGATCTCTAGCCTAAGGGTTGATGAGGTAGCTGGAAGAAGGATGGACACACTGGCAATAAAGGGATGGGATGAGAAACCCCCGCTCCATCATCTACTCCACTAAGGACTATCAGCTGATCAGCCAGTTTCTTACCTGAAAGTTCTCATGTATGTGTGAGGGTGTCACAGACTTGAGGATTACCACCACATTCCTCTGGATGTGGAACCGAATCAGAACCTGTGCAGAAAGAAGGGAAGACACGTCCACTTATCTACAGGAGCCCTTCCATCTATTGAAAAGAAGATGATCTAAATAGCTCCCCATGGCTTTAGCTACAGCAGCTAAAATTACTTGAGCACTCAGTTATTAGAGACATTTGCCAATCCTCCTAGTATGTCCTTCGACTCTCAAAGTAACACTGTGATTTCCCTAGAAAGGAAGGAGGAGGTAGCCTATATTCATAAGCTGAGACCCTGCACAGTTGATACCTGAACCCAAAGCTATGATCCATGGTGGGGCCTAAGGGCTGGACAGGAAGCTGATGGACAGAGGTGGTCCTTGCTTAACTGATGCTGACTCTATTTCTGGGAGATCCTTACATTTCCCACTTCCTTCTCTCCAAGGGATCAAAAAAGACAACACAGAATAAAATACAAGACTAGTAGAACAGATAAAGGGGAAAACACATATTGTACCTGGGCTGGGGTTTTCTTGTACTTTGTCGTGATCTCCTTGCTCTTGGGACTCTCCAGTACTACAGGGTCATCTGGCTTGGCACTAAAGACAGAAAGATGGCTGGAGTGAATAATCATTGGCTACTGCATGCCAATGAGCATCACTCCCATGACCGTGCAAAGGCTGAGCATCACAGCCTCCCCCATCTGGGAGGCAGATGATTTTGTGTCTCTCCCATGGGCTCAGCCATAGGCTCTGGAGCTTTGGCGATTTGAAAAGTCTGCCCCACCACTGATGGCAGAGGTGACGCATTCTCAGAGGATCAGTCGTGTTACCTTAAATAAAATTTTAACACTGTTATCCCGACCACTCACTCAGGTGGCCAACCACTTGCCATAGATATATTTTCCCAGTGCTTTGGAAATTTAGTCTAATATTAACCAATTATGACACTTTTTAAGAGTAATCAAGGAAGCACTGCCACACTGAAGGCTCACTGAGGTCTGTCTGGAGAGCCCAGGGGGCTGTAGGCCGTGATGCCGATGCCCTTGGAGTGACAGTACTGGATCAGTTTGTCCTGGGTGAGGTATGGGTGACACTCGATCTGCAAGAGAAAACAACTCCATCACTAGGGAAGTCAGGCTGCTTTTTTGAGTGGCTCAGAGGGAGTCTTACACATAGGAAAAGATCACCAAGCAAAATCCAAACACAGCCCATTGATGGATGCACTACATACCAGACCAGGAGATCTGTCCCCCACCTCCCTAAGCATCCTGAACACTGATCCCTGAATGAGATTCAGTAGACAGCATTGAACTAGCTTCCAAATGTTCAAGCAGTCACAGCAGGACCTCTTTGTGAAACAGAATTTACCTGATTGGTCACTGGTTTAAGTTTCAGTCCAGGCTTGTTCAAGAGCCTTTCAATCTGGAAGTGGTTGAAGTTGGAGATGCCCAGGGCTTTCACTAATCCTTCTTCCACAAGCTCCTCCATGCCCTGTCATAGCAAGGAATATCATTTAGATCAAAGTAAGAACAATACAGGGAGCTGGCTTGGCTTTGTCCTGAGTTAGGTGCAATGAATCACCTATAGCAAAGTTAACTGCAGTAGGAGAAAAAAATTTCAGTCCAGACAGTGGTGCCCATAGGGTAGTTCTGGCCCTTCTCCTCATCTCCAGCTCAAATGCAAGTAGGAAAGAAACATGAAGGTTTCATATGCTTTCTGCTGTCGCCTCACCCAAACCTGAGTGACCCAATCCCCCTGGAAACAGACTGGAACCTGTGGAAAAGACTCAACTCTATTGGCTGTCTTTTCATTCTTTGTTTTGTGTTATTAGGAATTGAATCTAGGGCCACTCCTGTGCTAAAAAGGCACTCTACAACTGCGCTGGATCCCTAGGCCTCACCCCACTCCCTTTTCCATTTTTCAATTTTGAGCTTTGGTCTCTGTAAGTACACAGGTTGGCCTTGAGCTTACTATGCAGCCCAGGCAGGCTTTGAAGTGTGATCCTCCTGCTTCAGTCTCCAACACAGATGTGACTGTAGTCCTGCACCATCAGGCCACCTGCTTACCTCTCTCCCCTGCCAACAACAGTTTGGTGCGCAGTGAGGAATGCCATGCAGATATACAGGCCCTGGCAGGGGCACCCAGCCTAGGGCTGGAGTGGGGCTGAAATCTGTCCCACTGACCATCTGCCAAGCCAAAACTGCCTTAACTCCAAGGAGGTGGGGTCTATTATTTTTTGCCTACAATGAGATTTTTCCAAAATTTGTTCATAGATGCTTATTCATACCTGACTACAAATTCAGCATGTATTTATAATGTACTTATTATAAGTTCCTGTACAGGAGTTTCCAGAATATAAAAGTCTACAATGTATTTCCTGCTTGAGATTCTTACAGTCTAATTAAAGTGCTGGGGTTCCCATCTGCCTCAGTGCTAGGCTACCTCAGCTCATTTGACAGCTGGCATAGCCCTGATCATCAGTAAGTGAAGTAAGGATTCTAGCTGGATCCCAGGGGAGACATTAGTGTAGAATTTTAAAAGGACGTAATCACTGTGAAATTACTATGAATAAAGGGAGGAAACTCAGGAACAGATGTGGGAGGAAGGCAGGAGCAAAGGCTCAGAGGCAGGGGCAGCCATGTTGAGGTGACACTCTGTCTACCATTTCTTAGCTTTAGCTGCAACTTGGGATCTTATGGAAACTCTAAAAGAACTGGGTGTCTGGGGCCCCCTCCCCAAGCTTCTTCCTGATTTCCTCTGAGACACAGCATGAGCATGAACTCTGATGATTTTAGTGTACAAAGTTGAGAACTGCCATCATGGATGAAGAAGGGCTTTACTAGGCAAGAGAGTTTAGCATTGATGAGACCAGAAGGTTCCAGGAATTTCCCAGTGAACAATGAGATGGTGTAATCATTTTCTGTGCCCTGAGTCTGCTTCGTTTGGGTTCTATGATACTCTATCTTGACCTCTTTACACTCATCCTCCCCCCACCCCCAAATGAGGTTTCTACTGGATTGGTTTATGGGTTCAAAGAACCACCCAGTGCTAATATATTCAGTCCTTCCAGTATCTAATCAGAGTTTCTAAACCAGAACATTGTGCTGGATAGCTTTAGTGTCAACTTGACATACCTGGGTTGAGGGAGCCTCAAGTAGGGAATTTCCTTTATTGGACTGGACTGTGGCCATGTCCATGGGGCACCTTCTTAATTGTTGAGTGATGTGGGAGGGCCCAGCCCACTATGGGTGGTGCCACCCCTGGGCAGGTGGGCCTGTGTTACATAAGAAAGCAGGCCGAGCAGGGGCCAAGGGAGCAAGCCAGTAAGCAGTGTTCCTCCATGGACTGTGCTTCAGCTCCTGCCTCCAGTTTCCTGCTCTGAGTTCCTACCTTGGGCTCCCTGATGAACTGTATGTGACCCAGGAGATGTAAGATAAAATAATCCCCTTTCCTCCCCAAGCTGGTATTGGTTAGAGTATTTTGTCACAGCAATGGAGAAACAAACTAAGGCAAGCAGCATAATTTATTATTACTCCTTTAAAATGTTTCAGGAGGTCAGTGAAATGGCTCAGTGTGGGGTCTCTCCCTTCCCTCGTGGGTCGTTGGCCACCAGTCCACGAGGACAAATGGAGCAGAAGTGACGAATAGGGTCAGGGACAGCCAGTGAGCACTGACAGAAGAAAGCCCTTCCGGGGAGGCAGGTTCAGTGATACAAACAGCTCCGTTTATTCAGTGGGGGTCAGGGAAAATATAGTGTGGAGGCAGCAGCCAATGCTTCAGCTGATAGGTGCTCATAGTATGCTTTATTTACATGTGGTAGCGGGATCCTTTCATCTGACTATCGGGCAATGCCTAATTATCATATAGAAAAAACCTGGGGGTAGTTTTTACTCCAGGTAACTATGCCAAAGGTCATATTTTAAATGAGGCCAAGCATCCGTGCTTGGCAGCACTTTCCAGGTAAGTCAGGCAGGAAGTCCCTCCTGAGAAAGGAGCCAACCTTAACAGCAGGGTTCCCCAACAGCTCAGTGGACAAATGTCCTTGATGCCAGGACTGACAAACTGAGTTCATTCACTGGGACCCCTTGCTGGAGGCAGAGAACCTTAATAAATAAATACAAAGAAAAAGATCAAGAGCTGGAGAATCACAGTGATGAAATTACACATGAAGGACTGAGCCATTTCTTACCATGGTAGCATTTCAATGGGGTCTGACAGAAATTTTCCTCTGAGAACATGAGAAGAAGCTGGAACCTACCTCCTAGGCATCCAAGAATGTATATTTACTGAGGACAATATTTCCTTTCTCATCTGTGGGGAATAACACATTCCCAGCCTGTAAATGCAAAACGAAAAGCTCACAGGGATGTGCATCTGATACCTGGTCCTATATACAGGGGCCTTGAGACAGTGAAATGACAAATACCCATGCCTACATAGCCTTTAGTCAAAGTCTGGAAAAGACACTTTAAGTAGTAAGCCTCAATAAAATCTTCGAATCTCTGATGGAATGTAAATCCTGTATTTCTGACACTGTTGGATTGTTCCAAATCCATTGTCAATATACTGTAGAAGCCATCGTCACCATGGGAAATATCCCAACATGCCAAGGCCCATATAAACTTGGAGGAAAAATTTTTTGCTCTTTTTGAGACAGAGTCTCCCTGTAGCCACAGCTAGCCTGAAACTCATCATGTAGACCAGGCTGGCTTTGATCTCATGGAGATCTGCCTGTCTCTGCCTCTTGAGTGCTGGATTAAAGGCATGTGCCACACCACTCTTAGCTGGAGGAAATTTTAATTTCAGGGTCTCTAGACACAGGTTACATCAGGTTATCTGAAGAAGATAGTAGCTAGCTTCTATCCTTGCAGTCTAAAGATGAACTTTTGGGTAGCGTGACACCATGACCATCTCTTGAGAGCAGAGCAGTGAGAATTCACATCCCTCCAGCTCTTATGAGCAGACAGAAGCATGGTCCCAGGCACTGAGTGGTAGTTTTTCAGAGTGGATTGGCTACTTCCCAGCATCACTATATTTGGCCTTTGTTCCTGGATGCCACTCCCTGAGCATGCAAAGGGTGTTTCCTGAAATAAGTTATATAAGAGTATCCCAAGAGATCCCACCTGTGGGACTTCTGCATAGAACGAACAGGAAGATGACTGGCCCGTGGCAGCTTGTCTGCTCTAGCAGGAATCATAGTCTCTCTCAAACACAATAGCAAGAATACTTAAGCATGTGGTACCCTCAAGCACCACACATTGCTTGAGGAGTCTCTATTTCAGGCCAGTGCCTTTCTGCTCCACACAAGAACTCCTCCCTCATCCCTTCATCATGCGACAGCCCTGGCACAGCAGCTATTTTGAGGCTTCTACCTAGCAACTAGAGTTGGGGCAAACAGCAGTTCAAACCTGAAGTCCTTGTGGCCAATGAATAAGGTAGAGGTCCAGATAGTCTAGTTTCAAATCCGTGAGGGTTTTCTGAAAGCATTTCTTCACCAGGCCTTTCTCAAAGAAGGTGGACCACAACTGCAGAGTGTGATGACAAGGCGTTAGGACTGGAGAGAGATGGCCATACCATACTCACCATCCTCACTATGAGAGTTGCAGCCTGACCCAACCCCAAGGCAGGTCATTTATATATAATAAAGTTAGTTAAGAAAAGCAGTTCAGTGGGGCACCATCTCTTAGCAAGTCAATGTCACTTCGAAGTGTTTTATGCTTTTGGTGGTCTAATGTTTCTTAAATCATTTAGCATAGTTTCTTAAATCATTTGGCCACGGATTATTTACATTCCTCTTTTGTCCCCTTCCTTGGCTGTCAGCTCTCTGAGGGCAGGAATTGTGTCTATCCCTTCAAATTTCAAACATCCTGATGCTATTGGGAGCAGCTGGTCCATTCTCTACTCCCACATCCCTGAGCCCAGGGGGCCCAAGTGGAATTTTATCTAGACATGAACTCTTCCCGTAGTAGGTCTGTTTGTCACACCAGATATTATTCCCAAGTACCTGGAACTAGAAAAAGTTGTGTTGTGTCCAATATGGAGCCAAGGAGATTCAAACCTCTTCATCCTCTTCTTTTTTATATAACATTTTACAATTCACTTTTAGTGAATTGAGATAAAAGAGGTTCCTATGTGACAATAAGAAATGTTCCAAAAAAAAAAATGTTCCTACCATTCCAACATACTCATGTCTATGATCTATGAACCTTGGGGACACAGCCATTGAGACCACAGTTCTGACTGTCAGGAATCATGACCCTGACTTCACCCCTTCCTGCCACCTGGTAGATGGAGCCCACCAACAGAAAACAGAGAGAACAAGGGCACCAGCAGGCTCAGTGGAACCATCCCCTCTATGGAAAATCCAACAAGGGAGAGGGCAGGCATCAGCATCTTCTTACCAGTACTGGTTTGGGGTTTGGATATCTGTATCCAGAGACACAATAAAAGCAAAGAGAAATACGGCTAGGAGAAATACAGGATGTGGGAAAGGCTGATAGGGCTTGGCGTAGACCAAACACTTCAGGACCTTGAAGTCCTATCCACCCAGTGGGCTGTGAGTACCTTGCTCACAATGAAGAGGTCCTCCCGCTTCACAACCTTCTCTTTGATCTTCTCTGGGATGGCTTCTCCCACCTCCTTCCTGTTCTAATAGGTATATGGACAGTGAATGTGGAGATAACCAGCGTCAATGGCTGCCTTCACTGCTTCCTTGACTTTGCCAGGGGGAGACTGAAAGGCCACAGAAAAGACCACCACATGCTCCCAAGGCCTCCTCTAACAGGCTCCAGATAGACCATCTTTCAAAATCACAGCCTTCCTGGCTCACTGAGGAAGAAGACATATTTTAGAAACCTTTCAATAACAAAGAAAAAGGGGCTTGAGAGATGACTCAGTGGTTAAGAGCACTGGCTGCTCTTGTAGAGGACCCAGGTTCGAGCCTCAGCACCTACATGGTGGCTAACAACCACTTGTAACTCCAGGTCCTGGGGATCTGACGCCCTCTTCTGACCACCTCAGGCACTGCACAACACAATGCGGGTGCACTTACATACATGCAGGCAATACACTCATACAAATAAAATAAAAATAATAAAGTATTTTAAAAACAAAGAAAAAAGTGAATTAATTTCTTATCAATTTTTTATATCACCATACAAAGTAATGTTCTTTGTGGTATCTTCATACATATATGTCATAATTGATTTTATGATTATCACCCCATGCCTTAGCCAAAAATTAGTCCCCTTGTAATCCAGGTTGATCTTAAAGTGTCTACAGTTTGTGGGAGTGACAGTGGCTCCCATTGCAATTTGCTTTTAAAGGCCAGGCAGAAATCTAGACTCTAAAGTGACCCAGGAATTTTCAGATTTTAGATAGTTACAAGGACAGCCCTAAAATATGGTCATGCCAGGCTAAACTTGAGGCATCAGTTTTATGAGGCATCTACCACATATCAGTATGAAGCTGAGCAGATTCCTCAGTCTCTCCAAACCTTGACTGCAAAATAGCAGCAGCAATAGCTTCTTTCTCATGAGGTCTGTGTGTTGTTTGCCACAATGAAGGTGAAGTTCGTAGCATATCACTGGACATTTAGTAAGGCTCAGAAGATGCAATCTAGTACATAATCACTGTTTCACAGAAAGAACAAATAGGAAACATTTTAAATAACAATGGATTTTTCTTTTCCATTAGTTAGAAAAAGAAAACAAAGTAAGAAAAAAGATCCTTTGAAATACCACCCTCTAACCTAGCCGTGCCAGACATTGGGTTGGGAAAAAATACTTAAAACTCATCACTCATCTCATAGAGTGTAGTGGTACACGTCTGTGTTCCAGCACTAGGGAGGCAAAGGCAGAGGATCATGAGTTTGAGACCAGCCTGGGGCACATCACTGTCTCGTAAAACAAATAAATCCCAAGAAGATCTCCAAACCTCTGGGTGCAATTGTCCATGCTTGTAATCCCAGACTTTGGGAGGTGCATATAGGAGGATTCTCAGCCACATAATGAGTTCTAGGCCTGCCTGGGCTACATAACAGTCTCAAACAACTACCACCATAGCAACAAATAAGTAACACTTTATCTCTCACAAGACATAGAAATTCTTTTTGTAACTATCAAACATTGAGAAGCACAAAAATCAGATAAATAGCTGTACCATCACTGGGACAAAGAATTGCTGCCAGCAACTCAGAAGCACTTGGAGTCCAGGTTCAGAGCACCACCCTCCTGCATGTCCTCTGATGAGCACAGAATCTTTAACAGCAATGTCATCTCCTTGTCTTGAAAACAAGCCCCTTTACAATCTTTACATCTAACTTTGAAATTCTGGGAGTTAATTTCCGGTGAATGTATACAAGGTGAGTAGACTCCCTGGAGATCTGCAAAGGATTATTTGTTACCTTGAGGGAATGTAAAATATCCAATTTGACTGCAGAGCTTGCTATTCTATCCAGTGTTGAAAAAAGGAGAGATTCTACACCCTGCAAAGAACAAAAGAGTAACAAGAGGAGGAAGACTGGAGATGAACCCTTCGGCTCAGGGGAGCAGAAGACCTCCATAAACAGGTCCTGATTCATGCATGATGGCTCACACCTGTAATCTGAGCACGGGAGATGCTGAGGCAGGAGAATTGCTGAAAGTAAGAGGCCAGTTTATGTTACAGAGAAAGACTTTGTCTCAAGAAACCAAAAACAATACCCCAAACAGCTCCTGGAAACAGCTGTTCCTGTTATTTCTGAGAGGAAAGGCAAAGAAAATCTAGAAGGTGGAACAATGTCAGACTTCTTCAGAGAGACTGGGAAATCTGCTTCACTGGGCACCGGGATGAGCCTTGAGGCATTTTTTCCAGGAGAAATTAACGCATGCAGGGCAGGACCTGAACTCCCAACTCCCGGCCCCAACTCCCTGTGTTGCTGCTTGGACTTTAATGTGCATGGAAAACCAGGCAGGGATCTTGAAAAAGTATAGGTGCCAATACAGTGACATGTGCTGGGGTCTGGGATTCTGCATTTCCTACAAGCTCCCAGACCACACATGCCACTGTGGGAGTCCTGCACCATGAGCAGGACTAAATAGCATATAGAACTAAGAGCACAAAGAAGCCAGGCACCATACAGTTAAGATCTGCTAGCCATAGCACCGACAGCTTTTTAACTCTGTCCAGGGAGAGAGCTGCAGGGTATATGGCCTGATTTCTGAAAGCTGTGAGATCTGGTTTCTTAGCATGATCGCTGTCTTAAAGGGGAAGCCTGTATCTAACAATTTCAAGTCCAGTATGATACTTCGGGATGAAATTATTCTTGTCAGACCCAGACAAAATTGAAGCTGGCCTTGAAATTATGAAAGGTGAGGGCTCCTTTTGCCGACATTTAATGTATGCTTATAAGATTCATCCATGTTGTTGAATGTGGCTGTCATGTGTTTACTTGTATTATTTTACTGGATTATCCTGGGGGAAAATGTGTTTCATGAAGCCATACAATATTCTTACTCAAGTATTGATAAGCATTATAGATGATTTTAGTTTGGCACTATTATGAAGTAGTGATACCATCACTATATTTTTATGTTCTTTTCAGTCAATATGTTCATAATTCTGGGAAATATTTATGCCCTGCCAGTCTGTTCTAAACACACCGGAGTGAGAGAACAATTGGATTAAATTATATTGCAAATTAATCAACCCAGAATCAATAATAATTTCTAATACAGATTTTTGAAACTGATGAAACAAATCAGCTACTAAACAGACTGATGATGAGCCTAAGGGTGGTGATGACGACTTTCATCTTCATTCAGAGTCTACAGGTAAGAAATTTTGCTCTCAGCCATTATTAACTTTGAGTTTGATACAAGGATGAGCGTAATTTAAGGATTTTGATAAAACTTTGTAACTTACAAAAGTCCTTTCATACATTGTTTATCTTTGAGGCTGACAGAATACATTCCCTTTACTCATACAAAGGGAGAGGCAGGGATGGATTTAAGGGAAAGTGACCACATCTTATCAGTGATGAAAACAGAGGATGTGTAGGCTTTCTGCCAGCAACAGTTTCCTGTTTGACAGAGTGTGAACAGCACCTTGAGTGCCTTCCAGCCTGCTCCACCTTTGCCCAATCAGAGCAGAGCCTCCCCCTGGGGCTTCTCCTCACCTTTCAGAATAGGACCCTCCTCTATCACATTTCCTCCCTTCCATGCTGTCTAGCCATTCCCTTTATAACGGATACCCTTATTTCCTCTAAGTGTAGCTTCCCATCCAAATATGCAGGCTTCCTCTTGGCCTCCACCCCTACTCAAGAAACTTCTGAGTTGAATTTTAATTCTTCTCCAGAACTCTGGTTGCCCAGTTTCCCCAAAAGTCTTGTTGCTTTAACTTCCTCAGAGACAACTTGATGCAGACCTCTTTTTCCTTACATCAGCTTTCTGTGGGCAGTATGGTCCTTACCAGTAAAATCCTAGCCATGGAGCAACTTACCCTCAAGATGGCTGGTATAATGATGCATGGTCAGAGCACATAGCTAGTATTACCTTATGACACTTGCAGCCTCTAGAAACTTTTTCCTTTATGGGCTCTGCTGCAGTCTGAATCTAGAATGTCTTCTTGAAGCCTGATGTATTAAAGACTTTGTCTTTTAACTTTGCTGTATTCGAGGGTGGTAGAAATCTTAAAGTGTGGGATGTAGTGCAAAGTTTTAATTCACATGCAGGTGTGCCCTTGAAGACAACAGTGGGAATCTGATCCTGTTCTTTTTTTGCTTCCTGACCTCCATGAGGTGAGCAGTTCATCTGCCTCCTGTTTCTACCATGATGTACTGCCTTGTCCACAGTCCAAAAGCAACGAGCTCATTAGCAATGAGCCTAGTGGCCATGGACGGAAGCTTTCAAGATCATGAGACAAAATAAACCTTTCCTCTTTTAAGTTGATTATCTCAGGGATTTTGTTACAGTAATCCTAAATGTGACAGAACATGCTCTTTCTTGCATTAAAAAAAGTCAGGCATATTTTATGAGTGTGTTGGTATTTAAACCAGATTATTGTGTCCTTGTTATTAATATTACGTGCATGTTTCTTCTGAATTAAAAATAAATTTAAAAAATTTAACGTGTTTATAGATTCCTAAAAGTCTCTTAGACAGCACCCCTGCCCTTCCTTTGAGATATCTTCCCACTATATGGCTTGGGTTGATATCAAAGTCCTGACCTTAAGCTATCTTTCCAACCCAGCCTCCCAAGTCCTGGGATAATGGACTTGTACCAACATACTAGCTAAGCTCATTCTTGTCTTTATATTTAAAAATGTGTAGACTTAAAAAAATATGTAGACTTTGGAGAGAAATTTAATATCTACAAAACATATTAATTCCATATTGTTAATTAAAAGTTCACTTTAGGCCTCTTTAAGGTATATAAGCTGTGGGCTTTGACAAGTGTCTAGTATCATGTATTCACCATTATAGCCCCAGACAGGATATTTTCACTGCCTCCAAATTTCCTTTCCTTTTCTTCCTCTCTTCATGCCTCTTCCTCTCCAACTGAGCCCTGGTTGACTAGTACTCTATTTCCTGTCTTTGGTAGTGTTGTTGTTTTGGGGAGAATGGGGCATAGCTACCCTAAGCTAACCTTGAGCTCACTATGTAGCCAAGGATGACTTTGAAACCCTGATCCTCCTACCTTCACCCTTTGAATACTGGGATCACAGGTGTGCGCTACCACACCTAGTTTAGACAG